CATCCATCTCAAGGTGCCCACATGTGATACAGAAATATTTCATGGTGGTTATGAACAATGGCCGTCCTTCCGGGACATGTTTACAGCCGTTTACATAAACCACCCAAAATTAACAAATGCGCAAAAATTGTATCACCTCCGATACAAAACAAAAGGTCAAGCAGGCGTCATAGTAAAACAGTTCGCACTAAATGACGATAATTTCAATTTGGCTTGGGAAGCTCTTAAATCAAGATTCGAAAATGAAAGAATATTGGACGATAAACAAATATCGATTTTAATGAACTTGCCAAAAATTCAAACCGAAACTAGTGAAGAATTTATCAAACTTCAATCCACTGTTTCAAATTGTTTGTCGGTTTTATCGACACAAAATATTCCCACAGACAGCTGGGATCCAATACTGGTAAACATATGCACTGCCGCATTACCAGAAAAATCATTACTTCTATGGGAACAATCGCTCTCATCACGAAGAAAATGCCCCACGTGGCAACAAATGAAAGATTTCCTAACTACCCAATATGAAATCGCAGAAAGGGTAGATAAAAAAATGGTCAGAACGAAACCCGTTCAACATGACCTAAATAGAAGCTTCCACAGACCCCAAACCAGTAGCAACAACAATTTAAATAGAAACTTCTTCAAAAATCAAACGTTCACATCCGAACAGTACAAGCAAACGTCATGCGAACTATGTACAGGGGGGCATAAGCTCAAATCTTGCGAGAGATTCAAAAAGATGAATATTTTCGATCGAAACAATTTTTTAAAAACTAAAAGACTTTGTACAAATTGCCTATCACATGCACATACACTTAAAGAGTGCGAAAGCAAATTTAATTGCGTTTATTGTCATAAACGACATCATTCAATGCAACACATTTTCTAGCTCACCCCCGAACAGCGCAAATACAAAAAGAGCCACGGGTTTAGTTGCAACAGCAAATCCCGAAGTGCGAAATCCCGAAAATTGCCAAGAAGCACCATGCTGCTCAAAGGCATTAAACACCCAAACGCGACACAGCAGTCGTCTCCATCGAACACCGAGGAGAGCTGTTTAAACTTAGAGCCTTAATAGACCAAGGATCACAACGATCTTTCATAGCGTCTAGCGCTCAAAATAGGCTACAACTGCCAACAAAACTAGCCAATTTTGAAATCACGGGAATGGGCGGAAGAGTAGTCCAAAACTCAAATAAAATCTGCCCCATTACCCTAATTTCCCCCCAAGCGGATAAGCACATACAAGCAGAAGCTATAGACTTACCGCAACTTACAAATATGCTTCCAAGCTATTACATAAATAGCAAGTATTGGCGAAAGGTTTCACACCTAAAGCTAGCAGATCCCAACTGCAACACTCCCGCTTAAATAGACCTTCTATTAGGCAGCGATCTCATACCACAGATAATACTCGAAGGTATTGAAAAAATTTCAAATACACTTCTGGCACAAAATACTATTTTTGGGTGGATCCTAAGTGGACCAGTTACCACCATGACCACTCAGGTTGAGGAAATCTCAAACGAATACCTCAATTCACAATTGAAAAAATTTTGGGAGTTAGAAGAACTCCCCCCCATATCAATCACAACCCCTGAAGATCAGTATTGTGAAGACTTTTACAAAGCCACAACTACTAGATCAGATGGTCGGTACGTCGTACGACTACCACTAAAACAACAATTTCCTAACACACTCGCCGTAGGTCATTCTCGCACCTCTGCAATACAGCAGTTTTTAAGAAAAAGAACTTACTTAAAAAAGATAAGCTTAAGCCAGAATACGATGGCGTGTTGGAAGAATATCTCCATTTAGACCACATGGAGGAAATAAGCCCATGCGAAAAAATCATCAACGGCAAATACTACTCATTTTATTTGCCGCACCATGCAGTAGTAAAGCCAGACAAAAAAACAACTAAAGTAAGAGTTGTCTTTAATGCATTAAGATCCACCAGCTCGGGGAATTCCCTAAATGATATTTTATTTACGGGACCCACGCTCCAACCAGATTTAATGCTCCTCATATTAAATTGGCGTATATTCAAATACGTATTTAACGGAGATGTCGAAAAAATGTATAGACAAATCTCCCAATAGTCCACTCCGCGACTATAAATTAAAAACAGTTATCTTTGCCGTCAACTGTGCTCCATATTTAGCCATTCGAACACTGCACGAATTGGCAGAAAACACCAAGTCAGAATTTCCTCTGGCAACCCAGGTGTTAAAAACACAAACGTATGTAGACGATATCTTGTCTGGAAGTCACAGTCTTCCACAAGCATACGAGTCACTATCACAAGTGATAAAAGCCCTAAAAACGGCAGGGTTTCCGTTGAAGAAGATAACGGCGAACCACCCTAATATTCTAAAAAATTACCACATGAAAATTTGTTAGATACTAATTTCCTTAAATTCGAAAAGGAAAGTACAACAAAAACTCTGGGGATCCAATGGAATGCGATATCTGACCAGTTTTCATACACTACAGAGTCAATATCTGCATTATCTGCCATAACAAAGCGGCAAATTCTATCCTCTGTGGCGAAACTTTTCGACCCCGCAGGATGGCTTTCGCCGGTTATGATACAAGCCAAAATTCTAATACAAGAATTATAGTTAGATGGTACCGACTGGGACGAACAAGTAAAACCACTGCGTTAAGAAAAGTGGTCCCAGTTTGCGAGCAATCTACATGATATCTCACAGATACAAATCCCACGATGGGTAAATTATGCCCCAGAGCACAAAGTCGAACTACACGGCTTCTGTGACGCTTCTGAAAAGGTATATTGCGCAACTATATATGTTCGCACACAAAGCGACACTGCGACCACAAGCCACTTATTAGTAGCAAAAGCAAAAGTGGCTCCTTTAAAAACAATAAGTCTACCACGACTTGAACTATGTGGAGCGCTACTACTAGCCAAACTCGTGTCCATCGTACAAACGCATTTAAACATGGCACAATATAAATTATATCTATGGTCCGATTCCGAAATCGTATTAGCATGGTTAGAAAAACCACCACATGCATGGAAGACGTATATTTCCAATCGAACGTCTCAAATCCTTGACCTAGTAGGATCAGCCACTTGGCGACATGTGGCCAGTGCTGATAATCCTGCCGATCTAGGTACAAGAGGGTGCAAACCCCTGCATCTTGCCACCACCACTCTCTGGTGGAGTGGCCCCCGCTGGTTAAGAGAATCTCCCGATTCTTGGCCACAAGCGCCCATGCGCAATATAATTGCCCCAGAAAGTCGAAAAATCGACTGCTTTCATGCAACATCGGAGGATACTGACATCCTTTAACGATTCACATCGTTCCCCCGAGCCCTCAGAGTAGTTGCCTACATGATCAAATTTATAGAGCAGCTCAAAACTAAAGTTAACGGAACACCTCCAATATACCCCTAATGCGATACATTAACATCGCATCTACTCAAACGCGCTACTTCAGCCGAGAAATATCATTGCTAAAAGATTCGAAGCCAATCGATAAAAAGAGCTCACTTTTAGTACTAAATCCATTTCTGGACACAAAGGGTTTGCTTCGTGCGAATGGTCGGCTTGTCAACTCCAGCCTGACATACAACGAACGACATCCCATAATCATACCAGAAAAAGCACGGCTTGCCACATTATATCTGCATTATGTCCACATACTGATGGTACACGCCGAGCACCGCCTCATGCAACAAATAGTCCGCCAAGAGTTTTATATTCCCCGTCTTAAGCCTCAAATAAAGAAGTGCATTTACATGTGCAAAGTTTGCACAACGTACAACGCAAAAAATGCGAACGCAGATAATGGCAGCACTTCCACCTGAACGCTGCAACTTTGCTCTGCCCTTCACAACTACAGGTGTCGATTTTGCTGGGCCTTTCCAGATAAAGGCTTCAATGTTAAGATCTCCCACTTTAATGAAAGGATATGTGGCAGTTTTTGTTTGTTTTACGACAAAAGCTGTTCACCTTGAGCTATGTACAAATCTGACGACAGAGGCTTTTCTCGCGGCATTCGCTCGCTTCATCGGACGGCGTGGTTTTCCTTCAAAAATAATGAGTGACAACGGCAAAACGTTTATTGGAGCCAAAAGAGCCACTGAGAAACAGTTTGTGGACTTTATCCAAAAGACCTCACCTGAGATTGTACAGAAGTACGCACCCCAAGGCATTAATTGGCAATTTATCCCCCCAAGCGCTCCTCATATGGGTGGTTTATGGGAATCAGCTGTAAAAAGCTTCAAATCCCACTTCAAAAAAGTAGCTGGCAACTACAAGTTTAATTATGAAGAATTCTCGACCTTATTAATTCGAATTGAAGCCGTACTCAATTCACGGCCAATCACAATCCTCTCGCAAGATCCCTCCGATTTCACCGCCCTAACTCCTGGGCATTTTCTCAAAGGAGCACCCATTCTGGCCATACCTGAGCCAGACGTGGAGTCGCTATCCTTATTAAACCGATGGGAAAGAATCAAAATTATCCATCACAATTTTAGTCGCCGATGGAAAGAAGATTATCTAAAGGACCTCCACAAGAGGTACCGCTGGAAAGCTCCAGAAAAGGCGCCGAAGCTTGGAGATTGCGTGCTAATACACGATGATTGTCTCCCCCCTACTGAATGGCGGCTTGGCCGCATAGAAAACCTTCACCATGGTTCCGACGGTCACATCCGAGTAGTCGATCTCCGTACGCAAACCGGAACACTAACTAGACCGCTCGTAAAGCTATGCTTTTTACCCACAGCCGATAATACCGAACAAACGTAAATAATAACCCGATAAGAACCAAAAATCGCTAAAATTAATAAATCAAAAAAAACCTACATCCGGTAAAAGGTCGATCGACCAAACGACCCATTTATGCCACTTAACGTGGCCCAAATTTCCAACTCAATCATGCGACAAACTTATAATCTAAATAACTTTTTCCCATATAAGTAGATCATTATGGACTGAAATGCACAAACACCAACGCCTGCAATGCGTTCGACCGTTAATGTGCCACGCCCTGGGGCAAATCCTGCCCCTCGAACTACGGCTACCACAGCCCCTCCAATCGCTCCACGTAGTGGCACGCGGCCACTAACCCCGTCATCCTCGCTGTCTGCGGAGCAGCATCGCCTCCGATGCCCGCTATGTCGTCGCCCACACCGCTTGCAACATTGCGGCATATTTAAAGGTATGCCACCAGTCCAACGACAGCAAATCGCCCAGGCACATGGCCACTGCCTGAATTGTCTGGCGCACACCCATGCAACAACCGCATGTGAGTCAAGGGGCCATTGTCAGATGTACGGTGAGCAACATCACACACTCCTTCACCACACCGCGAGGCGCGACAGTGGTCGACTAACTGAATCTCACCGCCGCGGCGTAATCAGGCGACTCCCCAGACACGCATCAGCACGACCTCGCCGATTGGCCCCCCCTCCGGAGCCGCGTTCCTGGCGCCCACGCAACGAAGCAATTACGCGCCGTAGCCAGCTTCGGCCACCACCCCGCCGTGCCACTGGGCTGAGCAGCGTCGTATACACGCTGCAACAACTTCAGCGTCTGCTAGGCTAATATTCGCCTAGGGGGGCCAGGATGACTAAATGAGCCTACGTCGTCCCGAAAACATACACGCCAACACACCTAACACAATCTACACATCAACTAACACAATCTACATCACACATCAGCAACATTCACCACATCACCTCTCGCAACATTCATCACCTCACCTCACGCAACATACACCTCACACAACGACACTACCACCCAGGATATCCAACACACCGGCGATCACCCCACGAACCATCAACAAAACCAAAACACGGGTAGCGGCTGGGCTCTTTTGCGTATCAAAATTCGAAGCGGACATCTCGTCATCGTTCTGATTCCCGTTGAAGTATCTGGCCTAAGCCGGACAATCAATCCTTTTTTTCTATTTTCTTTACATTTTTTGCGCTGCGTCGCAAGTGACGTTGTATTAAGTGGGTGTTAAATATATTCAAATATTCAAGTTTATTCAATTAATGCGAAACGATATTGAAGAGTGAATGGTGAGTGTAATACTTCCAAAGGGTTGGAACAAATACATTAATTCTTACTAGAAAACAGTGGCGGCAAAAATTCTGAATTGCACGTATGATGTTATGTGCAACCGATATTTCATAACATTAGAAATTCTTACCTCATTGTAAATATTTCCACAACATTCCCTCTAACCCATCCAACACCAAATTAAACTGTAAAAAATAGTTGAATTTTATAATTTGTATATTAATTTAAAAAAATGGTGTACTTACGAAATTGAATGAAATATGACTTTAAGATAATATGTTATCCAAAAAGACTTCACATGTGGAAATACCAGAATATATCCTTATTTAGACTATATTTTATTATATTTACATTGAGTGAAATTTTGCAATTTTATGAAAATTATTCATAAGTCTAGTTAACCCTTTCACTACCGTACCATAAGCAGTGAGTTTAGAAGAAATTAATACATTTTTTAGGTAGATATAATATCTAGTAAACAAAAAACAAGTTTAAAACAAGTAAGGAAGGGCTAAGTTCGGATGCAACCGAACATTTATACTCTCGCAAAGCCAAATGGTATACTCGTTTTAGATTTCTTTGTGGGTTGACTGATATTTTCGGTAGAAGGTCAACTATAGGCACTGAGGTCCACATATTTAGTACTTAGGGGCTTGAACAGTTTAAGTTCGATTAAGACAATTTTTGGTCACAAGGTGGCATACTCAGGAGAATTATTATAAAGTTTTGACATTAAATTTTGATCAATTCGTCCAATATCCCTTTTATTAACTCGTTACCCTTGAATTCATTTTGAGACCAGTAATCAGAAATCTCAGGAAGTCTATTATAACTCATCATAAGCAAAATTCCCAATACAATTTTTATTTATTTGAATCAATTTGTGTTATATTACGGTCTCCTTTTACATCTGGGAGAGCCAATCCTTCATTTGTGCACTGTACGATGAAAATTAACAACGATTCTGGAAATAGGCACTTAAATATTTATAGCTCAGCAGAATTTCTTGAAATTGGGACCAGAATGATGGGTTCAATATCTTCAGTAATACAAAATCGAGAACAAAATAAGCTTTTTATACTCGTATCGCTATCTTCACCAGAGACTAGTAGATGGAAACCCTCACTGCCCAAGTTTGGCGAATTATTTTCGTTCTCTGTATTATTATCAGAGTTGCTAGAGGGTTCATGCATTTCATCATCGGAATTTATAATGTACTCGAAATCGGGCGCGCTAAAATCGCTGAGGACAGAGGCGCTGGTATCTAGCATCGCAGCCATTACGTTTGCGTTCAAACTTCCACCAAAGCTTCTTTTATTCATTCTAAAAAATTGTTAAACACTAAAATAGATTGACTGTTTTCATATGACTACTGCACACCAGTGGGACAATATATCCCGTAAATATGACTTGAACCATACCATTGGGGCATATTATCCCGATTCAAAAAAAAAAACATATATATTTGGAACATTTAGTTGCTCACGTACTTATTTCTTATAAAAAACACTTTTATATTTACACAAAACACATTTCAATACTAAAGGCATATATTTTCACCCAAAAATCTACGAACTTTATAAAAATACGTGTTCATTCAATAGATATTTCTGGCAACTAATTGCTATAAAAAATTACGCAATCATTAAACAAAAAAAAGAGAGATGACCGGAAACAGAAAATTCTTATAACTGCCAAGGGGACCTTTTCTTACTCAAGAATGTAAACTGAATTTTTGTTGATTTTTTAAATTTCTACTGGGATGCTTAATCACCATGGGTGAAAGGGTTAAGTCATAAACCATCGATCGTAAAAATAAACTATCGATCGTGAGACGAAAATAACACATCGATTGGTTTACAGCTCTAGTGTGGTGAACAGTTTCGAAAGCGTCGAAATATACTGAAGCAGAGACGAGTGACTGAGATTTTGGGAGCCGATCAACGCAGGTTAGACACGAGAAAAAGAATGAGAGAGAGGGCAGAGAAATTTAAGCAATGTAGCAGAGAAGTAGTTGCATAGTATACGTACTTATCGCACAAATAGTCACCGACGCAAAACCGTGGACCGAATCAGCTGATACGACCTATCTTATGAGAGCGCAATGTAAATGAACAGTCACCACCGCTTCTACTGTCCGCTTCAACAGACCGTACTTTAGAATATCCGCGAAAATTGGATTTTTTCCGTAGAAACGAGTGAGTTGAGAGTGAGAGAGCAATCTTTTGCGACGCAAGGTTACCAATCCCGATATTTTATAGTAATTAAAAAATGAACTTGAATATATTTGAAATATTCTTAAAATAATTCAAAATCTCAATCGAATACACTTATTTATAAATAGTTAAACTCTTTCTAATAGTTGGATCTTAGTTTTGAGCTTTTACATTATGAAAAATTATAACCAAAAAGTAAGTGTGTGAAAAATCGTGTATACAAATAGAACAATTACAACATTGGTGAAATGAAAACAAAAGAGAACGATTGATTTCTGCGTTGCAACTACGAGGATAACTTTTGACATAGTAAGTACGGAAGGCTATAGTTGACTTTTTACCGAAAATATCGGTCAACATAGAACAAGGCGGCCAGATCCATAAAGAATTTATTCCACCCGGCCAAAACGTTAACACGGTATTCTACCTTGGAGTTTTGAAGCGTTTGGTGCACCGTATTCGACGTGTTCGGCCCGAATATCGCGAAGATGGAAGTTGTCGTTTGTTGCACGATAATGCGCCGTCTCATCGATCGACGCTTGTGGTCGATTATTTGACCAAACATCACATTTTAACCATCAACCACTCCCCGTATTCACCTGATATGGCACCGTGCGACTTCTACCCTTTCGGAAAAATGCATTTGCCGATGAAAGGAAAGTGCTATGCAGACGTGGAGGCCATTCAAAAGCCTTGCACCGGCATACTGGCGACCATACCGGGCAACGAGCTAAAGCACAGTCCTGTTTACTTTGGAACGCACCTTGTAAATATTTAATTTTACACCTCAATTTTCGTTTTCTCATTATACCCTGAACAGGGTATATTAAGTGTGACACGAAGTTTGTAACACCCAGAAGGAAACGTCGGAGACCCTGTAAAATATATGTATACATAAATGATCAGCATGATGAGCTGAGTTGATTTAGCCATGTCCGTCTGTCTGTATACTATATACCAACTAGTCCCTCAGTTTTTAAGCTATCGATCTGAAATTTTGCATCTGTCCTTTCCTCACTAAGCAGCTGCTTATTTGTCTGAGCGGTCGATATCGGACCACTATAGCATATAGCTGCCATATTAACTGAACGATCGGAATGAAGTGCTTCTATGGAAAACTCTATCATTGGACGAGCTATCTGCACGAAATTTGGCATGTATTATTATTTAAGGCATTAATCTAATCTCCTAAGAAATTGTATAGATCGGTTGACTATAGCATATAGCTGCCATACAAACTGCACAATCGGAATCATGTGCTTGTATGGGAAACTCTTTCATTTGACGAGGTATCTTCACGAAATTCGGCATTGATTATTATTTAAGGCATTAATCTAATCTCCGAAGCAATTATTCAAATCGGATGACTATAGCATGTAGCTGCCATACAAACTGAACAATCGGAATGAAGTGCTTCTATGGAAAACTCTATCATTTGACGAGCTATCTTCACGAAATTTGGCATGTATTATTATTTAAGGCATTAATCTAATCTTCGAAGAAATTGTATAGATCGGACGACTATAGTATATAGGCACCATATTAACTAAACGATCGGAGTAAAGTGCTTGCATGGACATTTTTTTTATTTGACGAGGTATCTTCACGAAATTAGGCACGAGTTATTGTTTAAGGCAACAAATTATTCTCCACAGAAATTGGTTAGATCAGATCACTATATCATATAGCTGTCATACAAATTGAACGTTCGGAATCAAGTTCTTGTAAGGGGCCTTTGTATTTGTGAAGGGTATTATAGCTTCAGCGCAACCGAAGTTAACGTTTTTTTTTGTTTTTAAATCCTTTTTGTTCCAATCTGCTTCTGTATCTTGATCAATAATTCTTTTTGTTGTTCTTTGCATTTTTTGTATTCGAGTATCAACATTAATCTTAATTTCCAAATTGTAAAGTTGGCTCAAGTAAAAATTGGAATTATTATATCTTCAACTTTTGTTTGAGTAGCCATTTTTTATACTCTCGCAACCTGTTGCTACAGAGTATAATAGTTTTGTTCACCTAACGGTTGTTTGTATCACCTAAAACTAATCGAGTTAGATATAGGGTTATATATATATAAATGATCAGGATGAAGAGACGAGTTGAAATCCGGGTGACTGTCTGTCCGTCCGTCCGTCTGTCCGTCCGTCTGTCCGTCTGTCCGTCCGTCCGTGCAAGCTCTAACTTGAGTAAAAATTGAGATATCTTTATGAAACTTGGTAGACATGTTTCTTGGTACCGTGAGACGGTTGGTATTGCAGATGGGCGTAATCGGACCACTGCCACGCCCACAAAACGCCATTAATC